ATTCTCTTTGTGTTAGGTGAAAGTAACCATACTTAGGCGCATTATATACAAATAACATGTGTTACGTGTCTTAACTAATAATTTATGTTGTGTAAATAGGCCTTTCGTTCTGTAAGAACCAGACACACTGACTTGCTGGCTAATTTTCTAAAAAAGAAAATTGATTTCCTCCTCTCGGTAGTGTCTCTTGGGTTGTTGTGGACATGCTTTTATTAGCACTGGGCAATATAAATCAGGGCTGTCCTGACAGTAGAATTGTGTTAGGTCTTATAACTTACTTAGAATTAGAGACCTCAGTAATCCCAGCTAATAGCCTAGCTTTGCATTTTTTAAAAAAGTTTCTTGATTATCTGATTATGTATTTTGGATGACTTTAAAGTGTCTGGAGGAGTATTTGTTAAAACAAACAATTTAAAATGTTGGAAACATACCCAAATACAGTAAAGAAGAATTCAGGCTGTGCTGCTGAAAAAAGCGAGTGAAAGCTCATGAAAGCAAGGCTTAGCTCTGTCCACAGTTTCTCTTAGGAGACATTATTTATAGATGAAACTGCCCCCCAAAAATAGTATTTCCAGTTCCAGCAAAACAGCATTTGGGAGAGGAGGATGGAGTTTTTGCATGAAATTTGGGAGTGGTTGAAAAGGAAATGAAATGAAATACTTTAAATTTCCTGCAGGCTGGAAATTCCAATGTTTTGGGAACACCCAACAACACTCTCTTTTCAAAGCAAAATATGTTCCCAGATCCCTACAGCTGCGCTGTGGACCTGACACGCTTGTGAGTCTCATTGCTGCTGTGGCCTCCCAGAATCTGCAGCATCTTGGTAGCACCTTCTGTAGACTTCTGCTTGCCTTAGAGAGCCTTTTCCAAGGCTTTATAATTCAAAGTGCTTATGGTACAGTTAGAAACTTGGAAGCATAGACCTCCCTAACTCCAAAACAGCTCTCAGAGTTTCCAGGCTCCCTGGGGAACTGAATCGTGGTTATAGGCTCAAAAGCCGTATTTTCACACTTAGAGCTCAGTGACAGTGGACCTGGGAGGTTTGACATGGAAGAGTCCCATGGGATCAGGCCCTAGAAGGAAGAGGGGTCCAAGAGAGCTGGTTAATATTCAAGGATCACTTCCGCCAGGCTCAAGAACGGTGCATCCTTATAAGCAAAAAATTGAGCAAAGAGGGCAGAAGACCTGCGTGAATGAACAAGGAGCTCTTGACAAAACTCAGGAAGCAGGAAGTGTACCGGAGGTAGAAGCAGGGACAGGCCGCTTGGGATGAATTTAGGGACGTTGTCAGAGTATGCAGAAATGCAACGAGGAAGGGCAAGGTCCATTTGGAATTAAATCTGGCTAGGGATGTCAAGGACAACAAGAAGGGCTTCTTTAAACGCATCAGTAACAAAAGGAAGACTAGGGAAAATGTGGGCCTGCTACTGAATGGGGCAGGGACCCTGGTGATAGAGGACACAGAGAAAGCAGAGATACCAGATGTCTCCTTTGCTTCAGTCTTCACTGCCAAGGCCAGTCCTCAAGAATCCCTGACCCAGGAGACCAGGGAGAAAGTTTGGAGAAAGGAAGGCTTTCCCTTGGTCAAGGAGGATCAAGTTAGAGATTATTTAGGCAAAGTTGACACCCGCAAGTCCACGGGCCCTGATGAGATGCACCCACGAGTGCTGAGGGAGCTGGCGGACATCATTGCTAGGCCACTCTCGATCATCTTTGAAAGGGCACGGAGATCAGGAGAGGTACCTGAGGACTGGAAGAAAGCAAGTGTCAGCCCAGGCTTCAAAAAGGGCAAGGAGGAGGAGCCAGGGAACTCCAGGCCTGTCAGCCTCACCTCCATCCCTGGAAAGATGATGGAACAGCTGATCCTGGAGGCCATCTCTAAGCATGTGGAGGACAAGAAGGTGCTCAGGAGTAGTCAGCATGGATTCGCTAAGGGGAGATCGAGCTTGACCAAGCTGATAGCCTTCTATGATGGGATGACTGGCTGGGTAGATGAGGGGAGAGCGGTGGAGTTGTCTACTTGTGACTTCAGCAAGGCTTTTGATGCTCTCTCCCATCACATCCTCATAGGCAAGCTCCAGAAGAGCAGGCTAGATGAGTGGATGGAGAGGGGGATTAAGAGCTGGCTTAATGGCAAGGCTCAGAGGGTTGTGGTCAGTGGCACAGAGTCTAGTTGGAGGCCTGTATCTAGCGGTGTCCCCTAGGGCTCAATAGTGGGTCCAGTATTGTTTAACTTATTCATCGGTGACATGGACAAGGGATAGAGTACTTCCTCGGCAAGTTTGTGGATGATACAAAACTGGGAGGATTGGCTGCCGGAGGGCTGTACTACCATTCAGAAGGAGCTTGACAGGCTGGAGAGATGGGCAGAGAGGAACCTCATGAAGTTCAATAAAGGCAAGCGTGGGGTCATGCAGTTGAGGAGCAATAACCCCATGCCCCAGGACAGGCTGGGGGTTGACCTGCTGGAAAGCAGCTCTGCCGAGAAGGACCTGGGAGTGCTGGTGGACAAGAAGTTGACCATGAGCCAGCCATGTGCCCTTGTGGCCAAGAAGGCCAATGGCATCCTGGGTTGCATGAGGAAGAGTATTGGCAGCAGGTGGAGGGAGGTGATCCTGCCCCTCTCCTCAGCCCTGGTGAGGCCTCACCTGGAGCACTGTGTCCAGTTCTGGGCTCTCCAATACAAAAGAGACATGGAGCTCCCGGAACAAGTCCAGCAAAGGCTACAAAGATGATGAAGGGGCTGGAGCATCTCTCCTCTGAAGAAAGGCTGCGAGAGCTGGGCCTGTTCAGCCTGGAGAAGAGAAGGCTGAGGGTGGGATCTCATCAATGTGTATAGGTATGTGAAGGGAGGGTGTGAAGAGGATGGGGCCAGACTCTTTTCAGTGGTGCCCAGCGATAGGACGAGAAGCAACGGGCACAAACTGAAACACGGGAAGTGTGTTTCATGAGGAAAATGAAAAAAGGAACATGAGGAAAAGCTTCTGTCCTGTGAGGGTGAGTGAGCAGTGGAACAGGTTGCCCAGAGAGGTAGTGGAGTCTCCATCGTTGGAGATGTTCAAAAGCCATCTGGACAGGCTCCTGGGTAACATGCTTTAGGTGACCCTGCTTGAGCAGGGGGTTGGACTGGATGATTTCCAGAGGTCCCTTTCAACCTCAACCACTCTGCGATTCTGTGATTCTATGACATAAAAGTGTCTCATAAGTGCAGATCATTTTTAAGACCTCCTGAACACCCTGCCTCAGGAAAGGGTTCTGTTCTTCCAGGACATATAGTTCTTGGGGACACCTGGTAATTGTACTGCCTTGGAGCCTTGCTGTTTTCCAACGTTTCCTTCTAGGATAAACTGCTGTGCATGCTATACAAGTTTCAGGATTTCCTGTTTCAAAAAACCGAAACAGTTTAGGATAGACCCTCAGGCAGGTTATGGCAGGACGAGGGTCCTAAAATGTGAAGCATTGCAGCCTTAGGGCAGCCCAGATCAATCCTAGGGCCATAGTCCCACTCAAGATGGGGATCCTTCCATCTGAGAATGTTCTGCTCAGAGCTTGTGTGGGATTTCACTAGAATATGGTCGTGACTTTAATGGGGTTAATTAAAGCCAAGAGGTTTAAAGGTAAAAAGTTTGGAGTCAATGAGCATGTATTTTCCTCCAGTATCAATTGGCTGAAAAACTAAACAGCTTTCTGCAAGTGAGTTTTTGCCATTATTTGGTTCTTCAGAAGCAGCAAGCTGTAACCCTGAGGTTTATGCTGCTGCACTTCTTTCCAATTGCCTTTAACAGGAACAGAATTCTAAACCATTGGATTTAGACTTACTGTGCTTTAGAGCAGGGTACTGGCAGCTTGTAAAAAAAAAAAAAAAAACCTTCAAAAGCTGCACAAAGGGGAAAAAATCAAATGTTTTATATTCTATCATAGGTTTGTTCCAGAGAAGAGAAGGGCCTTGAGATCCCAGGCAGTCTTGGTTGGCAGAATAGTTCCCCCAAATCTGCTGTTCACTGAAGCAAATTTGAGTGGTTCCAAAACTGCTTTAACTAATATCAAAGACAGTTCAAGATGCAATAGCAGAAGGGTGCGGTGAAAATTCTCCAGGAAGGTAACATTTGTCCATTTCCCCTCATAAAAGCTGAGAACTCCCTTGGGACCCTGAGAAGCAAAGCCTCAGCCTTTTGATTTAAACTCCAGCATAGCCTTTTGATTTAAACTCCAGCATAAATATTGCCTTCTCTTTGTCTTTACTATGCTATTTAATTCATTTAAAAATTTATAAATTTGTGATTTTTACAACAAAACAGGTCATTTCAAAATAAAAACTGGCTCTTCACTGGAGTCATTTTGTCTTCGGTCCCGTGATGCCTCTTGTCCCCCTTACCTATTTTCAAAGATATATTTCCTAGATAACAGGGCAAAGATGATTTCAGTAGGTAGCCTATACTATTAGCCCTATTCTAAATAGCTTAGATAGCAAGCAAAGATTTCAGTGCATCAGCACAGTCTGAACAAATCTGTCTGACACTTAGTGTACTGATTTAGTTATTGAAGGTTATTAAACTGTGACTTTTTTTTTCTAGATTATCTAGGTTAAAAATATCGTAGATAATTAACTCTACATGTCCTCCAGTTACATCTCTGATTCCATTGGAGGTGTGTTTTAGAAATTTTCATACCCACTTCACCTTTTTTTTTTTTAACCTTTGTTTTAAGGAAGTTTAACTTCTTTGCTATTCTAGGACCAGTGCTGTTTCAGATCAAAAAATCATAGGCTTTTATTTTTTGAGAGTGAATTTTGTTTTTAATCAGCTTCTGAATTTTCCTTTTTCTAGAAAGTATTCACCCATATTTAAAGGTAGCTTGTGCCCAGTATGTTTATTTTTGTTTAATAATTCATCTTGTCATTTCAAAATAGAATTTAGAGAGTGTTTTGTAGTTATTACAGTACCTGTAAAATATGTATATGTGAATTAAGTAGTATTTTTCTTGAACTTTTTTCTTTACAGGCTCATGAGGCAGCACTGGAGGCTAGGGCTAGCCCAGAGCTGAGCGATCGTATGCAACAGCTGGAAAGGGAGGTAGCTCGGTACCGGGAAGAATCTAGCAAGGCTCAAGCTGAAGTGGATCGTCTTTTAGAAATCTTGAAAGAGATGGAAAATGAGAAGAATGATAAAGATAAGAAGATAGCAGAACTGGAGAGGTGAGAATGGTATACAGTTACTAGAGGAACAAAAGAGCTGCCCAAAGTTAAAGATAAATTATTGCATTTTATTTCTCTCAGAAACCTTGGAGTGCCTATTTTGGGAAAATCTGAGTTTTTTTACTTCAGTCCTTTATTTTGGTAAATTATAAGTGTCAAGAAGCCATACAGTGTACTTTCTTTACTTGGTGCTCAAAAATAGGGCTGATGTGGAAAGAACTAGAGGGATAGAAGGAGCTGTAAGGGAATGGAGACGGTAGGAAAAGTTACTAGCACTATAGCGTGTTTGGAAAACAATTTGGTTGTTCAATTTAATACGTTCCTCACATATGGGTCTCCAAAAACCAAACAGAGAATATGATTTTAAAAAACTTGGAATATTAGTTAAACAGGTTCTTCTGAAAAATGGCATTGAAACTCTGTGCTGGTAGAGACACAGGTAGACTTCAGCTAAAAAAGCTGGATGAATAGATTTACTTTTGTCCAAACTGAATGATTCAGCACTTTTAACATTTTCTATCTTTCTGCTGGAGCCAAGATGCTCTGATATTTTTCTAGGCTTTAATTTCACAAACAAAAATGATAGTATATTATGATTCTACATTGTATGTATCACAATCCTAAGTATTAGATCTTGGGAAAGGCTTGAAACAGATTCTGTTTCCTGTCTTTTTCCAACCTTTCTGTGTGCCAAGGGGGAGTTTCTAAGTAGAAGTACCTGTAGATTTTTGTGTTTACTGTACCATTCACTAAAAAAAAAATGGCTAGCCTGGAACAGCCAAATGGAAGTGTGGTTATTTCCTTTTGCCTTGTACCAGAATAGTCTTTCTAATTTTTAGCCTATCACAATTTAACTGCACGGCATTTTAGTGTCAGGAAGATTATGGGAGTAAAGAACGTTTCAATTTCTTCATGATGCCGGTGGTAACCATTCCCTGGCTTGATGATAGTCAAATTGCGGGTTCCTCTGAAAAATTTGAAAAGTTTTTTCTAAGAAGTCTTGCTAATACTAAGTCCACCTTTAGGGATCTGACTTTCTGTTTTTACTATGTTCAGAGAAAGAATTAACTAGAAGGTCCAGGTAACTCTTCTAATTCCTTTCTTCTGCATCTGCTATATGCCTTCACATTTCTCTTCCTTCATCCTGTGCAAGGAAATTCGAATGATAAATCCTCTGGGAAGAAGACTCTCTGAATGTGCTAACTAAAATCAGAGCAATTGATTATACTGTGATGAACCTACTGAACTGAATGACTTTACCAGCCATAGCTTTTGGTAGGATGCATTTTGATTTTCTTGAAAGTGACACTGCTTTGAAACAGTTCAGCATGTCAGTTACGTTTTTTTCTCTCTTTGTGATTGTAAATAGCATCCTGTTAATTTACTTTATTATTTTATTTTAACCAAAATTCTCTCCACGGCATGGTATAAGCTTGAACTCCTGAAACTGAGGATGCATTCTTTTTGTCCATCTTCCTTATTTTCTAAGCGATATAACTTTCAGTCTTTTGATACATTCTGTATTCAGCAGAGCATTTAGGCAATAGGTCGATAGAATAGCTACATTTAAGTATAGACATGAGGAAAGCTAAATAGCAGTTCTGTGTCATATTTTTCTGCGTGTTTTTCCAGATCCCCTACAGATGCCCATCTCAGGCATAGAGTTCACTGTGTAACCATCCTAGGGCAGGCAAGCTGACTAGGGCTCAGGAAATAGCCATCACACTTCAAATAGAAATAATGTACGAGGAGGAAATATGTTCTTAGTGCTTTGATTCTTTTTTGTGTGCAAGGGTAATTACCTGTTTAGGAAAAGCAAGCTGGAAGTATTCATCTTTCTTCATAACCTGATCTCTAGAGAAGATTGGAGTGGCAGGAGGAGCATTTTATTTTATGCAAATTTTCGATAAAAGCCTTTTTTTTTTTTTGTTACATTAGCATTCGTAGTCAAACTTGGGACCTGCAGTGTCAGTCATATAGATGGCCTATAATAAAATGAGTTTATAGTCTATAAAACAAAAATAAAAAAGAAGGGAAATGAGGCTGGGCCTTTGTCTCTTTTAGAGATAAAGGCATTGGCACCCAGTCTTCACAGACTTACAAAGCAACTTTTGCTTTGAAAGGATGCAGTTTCAGAGATCCGTGATGCAATTATTAAGTTTTTCATGTTACAGTGGTAGGTTCTTGCTGTTTAACAGTCACAGACCACACTCTTGCTATGTCAATGAAAGCATAAAACCCCAAAACAACTGGACATCATTTGCTAACAATTTGATGGAATGCTCTAACTATTCAGTGCTACCCATTCCTTCTTACCACCTGATCTTTGCTCTTAAGAGCAAATAAAAATAAGTGGCCCTCTTCTCTTTTTAGCTTGCTTTCTAGCTTGTTTCTGCCAATGTTGAGATTGAATAGAATATTTCTTCTTTTGTTTCTAGTAATTTGAATAGGTGGGATTCTAGTGTACTGATTTTCTATATTGTTTCAGCTACGTCAAAGAAAAGATTACTTTTGTGATTGTGTGACTGCCTGCAGCCATGTAAAACAAGGAAGAAAAATCTAAGAGCATTCACATTCTCTAAGCCTGGTAAATAGGCATGGAAAAAACCTTACAGGTCTGGAGAGCTAAGGTGAATAGTGTTGAGTGTGGTGAATTAGCACAGTATCAATTCCCAACATGATTTTTCAGATGGAACTGTAATATAATCAGAGCACTGGAAAAAAAAATTTCAAGACTTTGGTCTTTATAGGGAGGTTTTCACAATAACTTCTCATTTTCTGAATAGTTGCTGAACTTTCTGTTTGGCCTTAGTTAGTTGAAAACAACACACACCCTCCTCTTCTCTGAAAGCTTTTTTCTTATTACTTATTTATTTATTTGTTTATACATGAGCAGAGGTTTTAAGATGCCTATTAAATGTATAGGTTGGTTCTGGTTTTGTCTACTGTGCTCTTTTATAAAGCATTCTTTCATGCTGAACTGAGATATCCATACATGTTTTATATGGAAGTTCTAGAGCTATAGTCTCGATCTTCTGAAAAGAACAGATAATTTTGCCTTTGGAAAGGCCTTCCAAAGCTGTGGTCCGTGCAGAGTGAGCTAGAAATTATCTTGCTGTCTGATGCTTCTACAGCTGTTCAAACTCTTCTGTATAAAAAGAAGCTTGGTGCTTGCAGAACCATTGGTCAACAAGCAAGAGCAAAGATAGCTGCCTCTGTTACAGATTCTTACTGTAACACCAAGAGCAAGATGAGAAGTAGTAAGTCACATTCAGAGACTAAATGTATTAAAGAAAATGGGAATTTTCAAGAGAAGGAGTCCCTCCCTGGAGTATTTCCTCACACTAATTTTAAATGACAACTAGACCACATGGCATGGGAGGAGAAATAATAACGTGGCGTCATCCATAGAAGAGAAGAAATGAGCCAAGTGTCAGGAAATTATGTGCAGGTAAATGGCGAAGGAGAAAAGCATAGGAGGAGATGAAATGAAAAGCAGAAGGCTGCTGTCTTATGCCTTTTCAAAGATGACAAAATTGTCTTCAGATCAGATTAAAATAAAGAGGGAAATGCTTTCACTCTTTACTCACTGTTGTAATTACTGGCTGAGGGGGTTGTTCTTCGACAGTGAATGGGAGGAACGTTATTTAAAAATAATGTATTAAATGCAGTGCATGCTATGCAAAAGTTTGAGAAATGCTCTAGAGTCAACATCAGATTTAAAGCACCAGCTCATTTAATTTGTGTTCTCTGTGGTAGGATTTTGTTTTTCCTTGTGGGGAGAAGGACTATAAATCCACACTTCCTCTTGTGGGTGAACAGCTTGACAAGTTTTGTTTCTGTCCCCTGATTGTGGTGTTATAGAGGGTGTTGTAGGTGTCTGGTTATTCACTTTCTTTTTACTAACTGTTTGCTCTTTATACTGCCATTCCATAATCTCCTCTCTGTCTGTAACTTCTCATTCTGTGTTTTGTTTCCTTCCTCACTTTTTCTTTCCGTTTCTATTGTCCTGTTCTGGACCTATGAGTTGTTTTGTTTTGTATATGTGGGATTTTTTTTTTTTTTTGGACTATGCCTTTTCTCAGAAAGCACGCCTCCCGCAAATTGTACCCTCCCTACCAGGTGTCAGTCCCTGCACCGCAACACGTAGGGGGGTTTGTGTGGGACTTCCTGGGAAAGTGAGTGTTAAATAAGGCTGCTCTTTCATACCGGGATGGAATGTCACTGTTGGCTGCCCGGCTGCTGCTGCTGCTGTTTGGGTCTGCTGCAATTATGCTTTTTTTTTTTTTCTAGATTAAACAGGAGCTAGTTATGTCAAGTACGGTGCTAACAATCTGTGCGTTCAAGGCCCGTCACACTAGTCACAACCACAGTCCCAAGTAGGCTTGCTGCTAGCCTCCATGATTTAAACTTTGCAGAAGCTGTTGCTTTTTATTCTGATTTTCTGCTGTGTTTTGTTTTTGGTTCTAATCTCTACTATCGATTCTGCCTGAACCAGCTACAACTCAGGTGCTCTAAAGTGTATCATTGACAGAGGTCAGCATTGCCTCATTCTTACATCTCACTGTGATTATTATCCTGTAGTGAGGAAGAAAAAAACTAGAAGAGAAAAAAAATGAAGGATGATGCTAATTGTCTGGCATATGGCCGTCACAGTCCTTAGATAGGTAGTTTAGACAACAATGTGTTTGTATGTGTATATTTTTTACAGATACAATAAATGACTCTCTATACTATATATGAGAGGTGGTGATAAATAGATATGAATGTGTTGTTTCAGAAGTAAGCACTGAAGGCATATATATGTGGAAGCCCTGGTTCCAGTTACAGACTTGAAATTGAATTTAGTTGAGATGTTCACTATATATGACAGATAATTCTCCTAAAGAGATAGGACACCACCTTTTTTTCCTGAAGGTAACTTGACTTTATTTTATTTGGGAACAAAGGAAGTGTCCGGCTTTGGAATATCATCAGTCCCGTTAAGGACAGTTGCACAT